TGGATTGGAAAAGTCACTAAATCTAAGGTATGGTGAAGGAGGAAATGAAGGTAGGGGTGAATGACTTTCCATGTTGGGGGGATTAATGGGGATTACTTATAAGGTGTTGTTATCCTACCATTTTGTGGGAATTAGATGGGATAAGTTTCTTTCATGAGTAATCCATCCTCTACCTTCAACTTGGTAAAAAAAAAAAAAAAATTATTTCTTCCTTAAACATGCTAAAGAATATTCAATCCAATCTAATACTAGTCACCATAAACATAACCAGAGAGGCAAATTAAGTCGGTTGGCAATGGCATGAGAGCTTTTTAAAGTTGATGAAGAGTGTCATAAAAGCTAATATATAGCAAAGCACACCATAAAAGTGGTAGGGAAGTCTATATTTTTGTTCCTAGAGGTCAAGTTTGAGCCCATTGCTTGGACTTTACTTTTCTCTTTCTTATCAAGTGGACAAACAACATGCATCAACCATCAACAAATAATAAAACAGAGCACTGAAACAAAACAACCATCAATTTGTCTCCTTTTTGGGTGGCCTCCAATCAGGGAATGTGCCCTCCTTCCCTCTCAACTCTCATCCTCTTTGTCCATGTGTGTCGCTCGCTCTGCCCTCAAAACCCTAGCTAAAAAACCTAGTTTTCTCAATGTCAATGTACAACTTGATAACGTGTGTATACCTATATATATAGGTGATAATGTAGAGCTATAGCTAGGTCTGTATTTTGTACTATGATAGGGTACATAAATATTATGATCATATATATACACACGTACGCATCCCCAATTATTGTATGTATATAGAATGTAGCAGGCGTACAAAAGTTTCTTTTTTATTTTTTTTCATTTCTGAGTTCAGTATATCAACACTCTCTACTTTGTTTAAATGTAGGGCATACGAATGAGATGGTCAACCTCTCAGCCTAAATAAAGAGCTAGCTTCGTCTGCGTCTATGTTATCTCTACCTCAAGACAATAATTTAATTTCTGAGAGAAATATGCCACCTAAATGTCATATATACTTCATTCAGTAGTGACAAAGAATGACAAATCACCTAAATAAACAGTAATACATCAGATCAGATTGATCGATGCGCATATGGGCATGCATTACCATATGTTACAATCTATGCTTCATAAACAAGCTTCATTCTATTGTTGTACAGCCCAGCGTGGGCCAATTATTAAATCTGATCCAGTATCGATATTGTCGATAACTTAATCACCTACATGAGTTTATGCTTAATAAATCCATCCAAGTACGAAACTGTATCTCAAAAAGCGTCGCGTTATTAGTAGCTAGTGAACCAATATTCTTTTGTAGACTATTTTAATTAGTACTTTTCCGACATGGGATTATGCACACATTCACATCTAGGGCTTGATCAAGTCACACAACCGCAACATCTTATTTAATTATGTGATAGAAGTACTTAGTTTACTATTACATTCTAAAAAAGTAATAAGTTTTTAAGGGTATACTAGTGATTTGCCCCCTGAACTTGTACCTTAATTTCAATTAACCCCCTATTCTTTTTTTCTTTTTTTATTATAGAAAATTAAGGATATGAACTTCTTTTTTTTGCCTATTTCCCCCCTGCCGTCTAAATCCGCAACATTTCATCCAATTTTTAGTTAAATTATTTTAAAAAATTATTGTTTTGGAAAAATATTGAAGAAAACAGAAAAATAAGACCCCAAAAAAAAGAAAGAAGAAAAAGACACTAAAGGAAAAAAAAAAAAAAAAAAAAGGAAAATTGACAACAACAAAAAAAGAAGAAAAATAGGGAAATTGACAAAAACAACACACACACACGAAAAAAAAGAAAAAAAAGAAAAAGAAGAATGAACCAAACCTATCGCCACTCCCCTCCCCCAACAACCTTATCGCCAACCCCCCTCCCCCATCTATATCAACTTCAGCAACCCCATCAACCCTAAACCCTAAAACCCCAGCCCGAAATCCATCCCCACGCGAGATCCATTGCAAGCCCCAGCCAAAAACCATCCCTAACCCT